CGGCTACACTGCTTGCCGCGGACCCCTTTATTTTAAAGGCGCATCGGGAATATGGCTGCCATTTCGCCATTTTGTAATATTTTTTTATGAAAAAATGTTTACAAGTACTTCAATATATGCTTATTAACTTCACGGAATATACTTTATTTCATTTCCTTCCATTATAAAAAAAAATGTCGAAAAAGTGCAATTTTTTGGGCCGTTACAGTGGTGTTACCCCTTAATTATTTCCGAATGTCACATATTACTTTTGACGAACTTTCCAACATTTACTACGTTTACACGGCACGCTTTACGCCGAAGTCATAACATCGATGTCATGAAACTGACCAATCATAGCTGTTTCTCTGAAGAATGGAATGACTGTGATTGATCACTTTCATAGCATCGATGATATAACTTCGGCATAAAGTGTGCCGTGTAAACGTAGTATATGATAATCAACGAAACGTGGGAATCAATTTGGAATTTTTTAAAACATCGATTTTTTTGCAACCCTCCTCGAGTAATTGGGAAAAAGTCGCTGATGATTTTGAAAGAATCTGCACTTTCACTCATTGTGCATTGGAGTCCTTGACAGAAAACATGTATAATAATAATACATGTACATTTGTTTTAATGTTTTTAAATTTATGTCTTTATTATGAGCAGTATATGTTTCAAGCGATTTTTCAATTGTATAGGCCCACCTAACAGCGGATCGAAATATTATAATTACTAAGGCCAACACAGTATCGTTCTTCTAGCCATCAGCGATGCTCATATTGTTGTTTTTCCATGGTTGATATTGATGGAGAAGGGCGACAGTGTGACAGTACTGTTTTTCACAAAATAGTGAATTTGGCAAATGATTTGGCAACGGATCTCTACATCTACCCGCAGCCAAAAATATTGCAAATACAAACATAACATTACCATACGTATTAATAGCCAACGAAGCATTCTAGCTGACACCATACATGATGAGACTTTATCCGCGCAAAAACTTAAATCTGAAAAAAAAAAGGTTTTCAATTATAATAGGCTGAGCAAGGCAAGACGGATAGTGGAATGTGCATATAGCTGGAAACACAATAAACACAGATAATAGGTACAGGCAACAGGGAATAACGAGCCCAATCAGAGCTTTGGGGTATAAGTTCGATATTATATCCCAGAGCTCTGATTGGACTGCTCGTTATTCCCTGTTGCCTATGCCTATTGCCTGTGTCTATTGTGTTTAAGAAAACGATAAGATCACCGGTGAAAATGGGGGAAGAAGGGGGGATGAGGGAGTGACTAAAAGAGATGAGGGAGGAAATGAAGGAAGGGTTAAAGGGAGTTAGAAAGGAAATAAGGGAGATAGCTGAGGGGCAAAAGGAGTGGATGAGAAAGGAAGTGGAGAGGATAAAAGAGGAAATGAAGGAGAGGAAAGAAAGATGGATGAGGAAAAAGGAGGAAATGAAGGAGAGGATAAGGGCGCTGGAAAGGGAATTGGATAAAATGAAGGCAGGGGCAGGAGGGGAAAGGGATGGATGGCATTAGGGGAGAGAAGGAGGAGAGGGGAAAGGGAGAAGGGAATGAAATTTGGATGGAAAGGTTAAGAAGAGTGGAGAGAAAGAGTGAGTGGAGGGAGAGGAAGAAAAGGAAAAAAAATATGATAAAAGGGGCGAAGGTAGATGAAGGGAAAATAGAGGAGAAGATCAAGGAGGTAATGGGAAGTATGTAGGGGTGAGGATAGAGAGAATAAGAAAGGTGGGGGGGGATAGGAAGGAGAAGGGGTGGATGGTAGTGGTAACGTTGGGGAGTGTAGAGGACAAGGGGAGAATAATGAGGAATAAATGGAGAGTGAAGGGAAGAGATATATATGGATCGAGGAGGATTTGACTTGAAAAGAGAGGAAGATGAGGTGGAGGATGAGATAAGTGGTGATGAAGGAGGGGGGAAGAGCAAGAATGGGACGGGGGGAGGGGTATGGATTGAAGGGGAATGGTGGAAATGGGATGAAGAGGTTGAGGAACTAAGGGTTGGCAGGGGTAGGAAATGGGGGGGATGGGGAGGGGAGTAAGGGGGAAGAGCTATATAAAGAGGGGGAAAGAGCAAGGAAGGAGAGGCAGGAGTAGGAGGGGGAAATAGGGAGGAGGAGATAAGTGGAGAGAGGGAGGAAGAATAACGGAAGAGAATGAATGTGAGGAGGAAGAGGAAAGAAGTTCAATAGATAGCAAGAAGAACAAGGAGGGAAACAAGTTAGTAGAAATTATAAGAGAGAAGGGGTGATCGATTTTAAATGGAAATGTGAAAGGGGATGAGAAAGGAAATTGGACATATGCAGGGGGAAGGGGGGACTCAGTGATTGACTACGTATTGGTGGATGAGGAGACGAGAGAGGAGATAGAGAGTATGGAAATTGGGGAGGAAATAGATTCGGATCATCACCCGTTGGTAGTATCACTGAGGGGAGGAAGAGGCAGGAAGTGGGGAAAGGGGGGGAGGGGAGAGGGGCAAGTAGGGAAGTATGGGATGAGGGAGGTAGGGAGGTTGGAATGGAGGGAGGGGGATGGCAATGAGAAGATGAAGGAAATGGGAGAGAGAATAAGGGAGATATTGGGAAGCATAGAAAAGGAGAGAGGGAAAGAAAGGAAGGGAAGGGGATGGTGAGATGGAGAGTGTAAAGAAAAGAAGGTTGAGATGAGAAGGGTATTAAGGGAATGGAGGAAGGATAAGGGGGGAGGGGAGGAGTACAGGAAACAAAAAAGGGAGTATAAGGAGCTATGTGGGAACAAGAAAGAAGAGGAGAATGAGAGATGGGGAAGAAAAGTGGAGGGAGCGAGGAATGAGGGACAGGTATGGGAAATAGTAAACAGAGAAAGGAAGAAATGGAAAGGAATAAATAAGGAGATAGAGATGAGGAAGTGGGAGGAATATTTTAAAGAATTATTAGGAAGGGTGGAAGGGAGAGTGGTAAGGGGTGAAGAGGAAAGGAGAAGCGAGGGACAGAAATGGATTTGAGTAGGGAGGAAATTAGAAAGGTGATCAGGAATTTAAAGGATGGGAAGGCAATGGGGGTGGATGGGATTCCAAACGAGGTATGGAAGGGGGTGATCCCGATTGATCACGGCTCGATTGGACACCACCAATCACAGCGACCGGTGCTTAGGAGCTTTATAGTCTCAAGCGCTGTGAGAAAATAATTTCCGTATATATGGAAAAATAATTTCCGTATATTTTATATCTAAGCATATCAAATGAAGAAAAGTTGCTTTTTTTCTTAACTCTAAGCAGATATTCTTCAGCATTTCGAATAGCCATTGCTACATCAGCCTCAGACACCCCTTAAAAACAGAATCATTTTAATATTAATAATTCATTAGACTTATTTTTCGTTTTTAAATATTTGTAAAGCAATACCATGTGCAAACGTTTTAAGGTATGTAGCAGGATTAGCAAGCAAAGCACTGGACTTAGTTCCGACTTTACTTGTATAGTCTGCACCAGTGAGATGATGCAAAGCTGGAAGAATTGAACTCATTTCAGTCCCACAATCTTCGGCTAATTTATGTATCGGTAAGATCCTTTTTTTCGAACCGGCTCCTACTTGAACAAAAAACTCCTAAAAGAATTTTTTGTATAAATGTGGGTCAATATAGAGAAAATCAATTCTTTTTATATTAACAAAATATATACACAATAACCTGTAAATTTTTCAATTTAAATGTTGACCAATAGTATAAAAGTAATACAAATACATCTGTATCAGATGATAATGCTAATATTTTAGTTACTCCCTCTGTGCAAGCTTGAAAAATATGTACAATAATATGAGAATCAGCTTCTTCAATGTCATTTCTTTGCAATAAATTGAATGACCTCGAGCAATTCTGTAAATTAGATTGACATGGTTCTTCATTCGTTGCACTGCATATTACAGTGGTATTTGGCCATAAAATATGACTTTTCTCTAACACTACTTTTCTGATGAATCGTTGCAATAATATTTTATTATTTTTTGATGCCCAAAACGATTTTGAATCTTTTGGCATTGGAATATTTTCATTAATGTCATAAATATCTATAGCTGGATCTTTATACAAGGTGTGATCAAAAAGTAAGGTGACTTTTTGAATTTCGCGCGCTCTGTACACTCTAATTTCAAAAATTTTTTTTTGTTGTGTTGGTACACTCGT